AAGTTAAAGGATATTGAATTTGGTAGCATGACAAACTCATACCTAATTGGACTTGTCACGATATGAAGCTCTAAGAGCAGTGGGTCTAGCACAACTTGCCCAAATCCATGTCTGCTTGGACTTAACACATATTCGAGTTCAAAGGTGGTGGGTTTGGCAACATGCCAAACTCATGCCCAATCGGACTTGACATGGTGAGAAGTTTAAAAACGATGGATTTGACAGCTTACCAGACCTATGTTTTTTTAGACTTGGCATATAGTCAGGCTTAGAGGTATCAAGTCTGACAATTTGTCAAACCTATGCCCACTTGAACTAGGCTCGTAGCGATGTTCAAGTATATTGACCTAGAAATAAGCTAAACTTATCTCATCTAAATGTGATATTCTAAAAAGTCTAGGAAAGTTGGGTGTATACACAAGCCCTACCTATCTACATATGAATAAATTATTACCATGTCTTTTGGACTTTCTAAACAATAACTTAGACTGAATTAAAACTCAAAACATGTTTTTTATAATGCCAAAAAATGCTGATCCAGCAACTTAGTCATTGGAAGAATGATTTAATAATTAAGATTTGAGGTTTGTGTTTAAAGGTCTCTAGCTCGTTTATTTTTTGAAAGAGATGAGTTGAACATCTAGCAAATAGAGGGTTGCATACCATTGGAGAATGTTAAATGTCAAAACTCGTTGGATCTTGTGTTTAATTAACACAAAATAGAAAAAGGAAAAAGTTCCCATCACAATTTAACATTAAACTCGTATGGTTCGGTAACTACAGCAGCAATAATTAATCTCTGACTTGTTACAAGATTTTGTAAAAGTGATACAACAATAACAATTATGTCTAAAGATATATGTTCATCATCGCTAATGGTCCCAGTAGTTTTCTGATTGGACCCTAAGGGAAACATGAGAGCTTAATGATACGATTAGGTGATCTAATTAGCAATTAGTTGCTCAAACGTAACTAAACATCTAGAATGAATATTACTATTAACTAATGTTAGCACTCATGCACAAACAATCAAAGTAGACATTAAGCTCAAATTCTATCTTCAAGGTAAGGAAGATCGATTAACCAAAAATGCCACCAACCCATTATTCTAGTTTGATTTAAATGTGTTAGGCCACCCATAAAAATCCCTAATTCCTAGGTTATATTCACATAGCTCTCATGTTAATTAATAACAATAGTAATTCTTAAACATACATGCATGTTGCTGAGTTGGGAGCCTAACGTTATCGAGAGAGAGAGAGAGAGAGAGAGAGAGAGAGAGAGAGAGGAGAGATGGTTATCATTTCTGAAGGAGAAGTGACCCCTTAGAAAACTGAAAAAAGCTCTAGGCGGCCGAAAAGGTTTGTACGTTGGCTACTGAGCAAGCTCAATTTGATGCCGTGCCTGGGAAGAGTTCCTGTGTGCATCCCCCTCCAACCCCAAGTGGCCATGATATACCTATTTCTTTTGTTATAATATTTGCTTGACGTTGCGAGGCAAAAAAGAGTTTCAAAATATTTATTCCAAGTATAACACAAATTAAAAAATAATGGGTATATATTCCAAGAGGGGGGAAGGAGATATATAATAGCAATAAAACTTTTGTCTTTTGAAAATGTTAATCTTTTATTGGATCCCTTCTCCTTTATTTATCATATGTATTTCTTACACACACACACACATATATATATTTTACTTTTTCATGCACCCTAATATATTCATAATTTTTTTTTCTAAATGTCCCTACAACCATCAAAAGAAAATATTTTATTTTAAGAAACTTAAAAAATAGAAAATTTAACTTCAAAAACTTTGAAAATCCAAGAAAAAAACCAATATATACATATATAAAGAATCTGGAACGAAAGTAAAAAACTTGAAAAACCTAAAAATAAATGAATTTTGAAATTTCCTGTTTTTGAAAATATCGTGTTTATAAAGTCTGTAAATAAATGTCTTAGGTAATGACATTAAATTTGAAGGACGACGTGAATTTTTCACATTTTCATCATTTTCAATGATTTTATATTTTGAATTAGGGTTAGTCCAATTTTCTCTTTTTGCGATATTCCAAGTTTTTGCTTTTTTAGTTTTTCAATTCTCTAGATTTTTCAGTTTTTGTTATCTCTTTGAAAGTTAATATATCATTACTTTATGTATTGATTTTTTTTTCTTAAAAAAGAAGTAACGAAGAGACATGTTGGATAATAGAATACTCTTAGTACGTAGACCAGGATATATTATGATTATTTCAAGTGTCCTTTCATTCTCTTTAATGGTTAGTATATTTTTTTTTATGTCAGATTGTACAAATATATCAGAACTAAATTATTTTCAGATTGAATTTTAGATATTCAATTCAAATTAGAATCAGTGCATTCATTAAGAGGTTATTTCCCTATTAATTCTCTTAATCCCCGCAATCACAATGCTGAATACTCCATCGTTTTTAATCCAAAATCGTTTAGTATAACACTAACTAAACAGGTTTAGTAGCTAATTAGATCAACACCTTAAATTATATTGTGCTTTATGTTTAAAAGAAAAGTACATAAAATTCAACACAGTCACAGTCCGAGGCTTGGACATTTTATATATTTCATTTCACAAGCCGCTGGGCAGCAGGAGGCTCCATGGAAGTCCATTGATACTAACCATGATCCTCACCTTTCTTGGCTTTTTGAGTCGGATTTCCATATTTTTCTGCTAATAGAGTTGGTCCTGCATTTTAATATCCACAAATCAAGTTCATTGCACATCTCTATAACTAGTGTCCAAGAGAAGAGAACCGAAAAGATCATTCACCTGTACCTGACAACATGGGCCCCCTTGTCTCTATTCTATACCTTTTCTAGGTTTTTTTACCTGGTCAACCCTCTGCTTTGATTCTTGCAGCCTCTCTCTCTCTCTCTAAAATGACCAGTGCCGATGGGCTTTCAGGTTGCTCTAGTTGACTTGATCATGTCTACCATTTTCTCGGCAGCAATACATGGAAGTTCCTAATAACCTAGGTTGAGAATTTAACCTAATTAACTTATTTAGTTCTCAGATCAATGAAAGTTCAGAAACTTTATAAGAATAAAATTGTGGATGCATGGGAATAAAGCTACCATAAGTATCATGGATTTATTTTGTTTTTTCACTTAAATGAAAAATTCTCAAGAATACGACAAATATATATTGACTTTTGCCACCGGTTTTGTTTTTTAATAATCTCAAGTGGATAAGAATTTAGTGGAGATTCTCTAGAATTAGAATATTTCAATGATTAAATGTTTAAAGTAATTACCACTTAAAGGCTGGTTTCCTTCTCTTTTCCGTGCCAGTGAATTATTAGTGAATTGACTAGTCGGCTTTTTTTTTTTCCCAGTAAAAGGAAATGACTAATTGGGAATCTTGAGTTCATAGTAAAGCACGGATTTATAATTAAACTTGATAAGAATGATGCTTAAGATTAATCGGTAGTGGTAATCCATAAAAGGAAAGCTTACCCCTCAGCGTCCCTCGTATAGTAACTCCGTAACGACAAACATTAAATGATTGCAGAGATGCCATGAACATCCATACCATTGCTTGAATTGAAGATTTTTTAACTTTCCAAGAAAGCACATGCATAAATCATACAAGCTTAACCTCCCCAATCATCCTTTATGTCTCCATTTGTTCTTAACACCAAGTGTTAATCCTATCCCAAACAGTGGACATCATGCTTAGGCAAGTTGTCATCTAAAAAACAGTAACACACTAAAAAGCTGTTTATATTTCTTAAGCAAGGCTGATCAGGGAAAAGATCAGTACAGAAGGGAGACAAACCAGTTGTATTTTCCCAAATCCCAAGTCCCATTGTCCAATAAATACTATCAGAAGCTGGAAGAAAGGTGACAGCAGACTGTAACTAGGTACTGGCCGTGGCCATATACAATGATTCCAGTTCTTGGAAACTTGCAAAAAGCGTGCTCCTGCACAACATGCTCCTTTACAGCCCAAACCACTGCATCCAACCTGTCTTTTGAAGTTCTGAACAACTCATAGATTTTAATCCATTACCATCTCATTCTATGTATGGCAAGAAAATAATTAGTTTGTTCTTTGCACTGCCTGTACTCTTGTAAACTTGTCTGCTCTTGGGAGAAAAATATAAATAGATACATTATTAAATGCAGCAATCTTCTTCACATCACACATGACATCCCTTTATGAAATTGTTTTGATTGATATCTATATGTAAAATATTTTTTTTTAATTTTACAATTATTTGTGAAGCATTTTTAACATGACAATATCAACCAATTTCACTACACCTTTCAAGTGTCAACTATTATATTAGAAACAATAGTATTTTATCTCCAAATAGTACATGACAACAACCTTCCATCTTATTCAAGAAAATCATCCAAAATGAAGAATAACATTACTAACTAATTAAAATATTAGACCCATTTTATCATAATTTTATACAAATAAAATTTTCATACAAAATTCACAATTATTTCATATATATATATATATATATATATATGAAATCAATTATCCATAAAATCTTCATTTTATCATTGTGAACAATAATTTTCTTTTGTAAATCTTACCATTTTATCATTCAATGGTGAACAATAATTTTCTTTTGTAAATCTTAGCATTATTAACAGTACTTTTATTCTACATGTGAATGAATATTTGTTTTTGTGTTATAATCTATTTATTAAATTATTTGTTTGCATGAAATAAATATTTTTTTATATATTTTTACATGATTTTAATGTGTTTATAATTTTTTAAAAATATTATTTTAATTATAATATACTTGTAAAAAACAGTCTCAACCGTGATACCAAACACGTGAAAGAAAATAGACTGAAGATGTGGAAAAGAATGGTTCAAAAACGATAATAAAGGAGGCATGTCATAATTTCTCAAAACGACGACGACAAGAGTGTAGAATAATACAAGAATGGCAGAGGTGGACCGTTGGGAGCGAAAAGAAAACAGTAAAGAGGAAGGATACATTGCATGTTGGCAAAAGCCAATGAATCTCTCTCTCTGCTAAACATTTTTTGATTTCTTTCGTACTATATATTAACACACCACTTGCACTTATATTCTCAAACAACAAACCAAACCAGGAAAGCCAAACCAAAAAAACCAAACCCTTCTCTTCTTTAATTCTCTCCTTTGTTTTCTTTTTTTGCCCTACTCTGTTGGGGTTTCAAGTTCTCTACTCGCTCTTTTTTTTCACTCCTGGTGATGCATTTAAGCTTTCTTGCTTCCTTTCTTATCAGTTTCTTGGTACTTGCTGCTAGTTTGTGTGCCTTTTGTGCTGTTAATCAACGACGCTTCTTCTTCATCTTCTTCTTTTCATTTCAGTTGTTTCAGTCATGCCTACTCTTGTTAACTACAGTGGTAAGTTTTATCTTTTCTATTCTTGGGTGTTTTTGGCTTTCTCTTATACCTTTTGAGGTTTAAAAGTGGATTAATGTTTGTTAGATTTGAGGTATATTATAACATGCTTGTTTGGATTGGAGTCTTGTTTCGGTATGAAAATAGTAGGTAAAGAAATAACCTTGAAGTGCTTTTTTTATTGGTTTTGTGTTGTGTTGTGGCTAAAACATGACCTGTCTGCAAATTAGTTGGATTTAGTTTTGTCTATGAACAAAAGTAATACGAGGATAGATGGAAATTCAGGAAAGGAAGAACCTTTAGGAGATTCGTTATATTATTGGTGGCTTAATTGTGAATTCTTATTTGAGAGGCCTAGATCCTTGAAGGGTTTGTCTTCCGTTGGAAATTCTTAAGAGGCTGCAATTTTTTGAAATAAAAATCAAAGCTTGAATGCTGTTGAGTCTGCTTGCTTCTAATATTGTTTGCATGAATATTTTCTGGCCTCTGTTTACTATATAGAATCTTTTAGAGAGCTTTAGCTTATTGGTGTTTGTTGATGGGTTTTTCAGGAGATGATGAAATCTATTCCGGGGGCTCTTTCTATACAAATCCTTCCGACCTTGGTCGATTATATTCAATTGTATCCAATGTGGATGTATACAGCCCTGCTTGCAAGCGAGCTCGCATTAGTACTCCTTTTCTCTTTGAATCATCTGGGTTCGAGCAGAATAAGCGACCATCAATTGAAGTTCTTCCAGATGAATGCCTTTTTGAGATCTTCAGACGCGTTCCTGAAGGCAAAGAGAGGAGTTCCTGTGCCTCTGTGTCCAAGAAATGGCTCATGCTTTTGAGCAGCATCAGGAGGTCTGAATTTTGCTACAGCAACCCTGTAGCTGAAGAAGAAAAGGAAACAGCAGCTCCTGTTTGTAATGATGTTGAAATGGTCTCTTGCGAAGACAACGGGGAAGTTGAGAGTGATGGTTACCTTACCAGGTCCTTGGAAGGAAAGAAAGCAACAGATATGAGATTGGCTGCCATTGCTGTTGGGACAAGTAGCCGTGGGGGCCTGGGCAAGCTGTTGATCCGGGGAAGCAACTCTGTTCGTGGGGTTACCAACCGTGGTCTATCAGCAATAGCACGTGGTTGCCCTTCTCTAAGGGCTCTTTCTTTGTGGAACGTTCCTTTTGTCGGGGATGAAGGTCTATTTGAGATCGCCAAAGAATGCCATTTGTTGGAGAAGCTTGACCTTGCCAACTGTCCTTCAATTTCCAACAAGGGTTTGATTGCAATTGCTGAGAACTGCCCTAATTTGAGCTCTTTGAATATTGAATCTTGTTCTAAGATTGGTAATGAAGGCTTGCAAGCAATCGGAAAGCTTTGCCCTAGGTTGTATTCAATCTCTATTAAAGACTGCCCTCTTCTTGGGGATCATGGAGTATCAAGTTTATTATCTTCAGCTTCTTCGGTATTAACAAGGGTGAAGCTTCAGGGTTTGAACATCACAGACTTCTCTCTTGCTGTAATTGGGCACTATGGGAAAGCTGTTACGAATCTTTCCCTTAGTGTTCTCCAGCATGTTAGTGAGAGAGGCTTTTGGGTCATGGGTAATGCTCAGGGTTTGCAAAAATTAATGTCTTTGACAATTACTTCATGCCGGGGGATAACAGATGTGAGTCTTGAAGCTATTGCGAAGGGTTCCTTGAATCTGAAGCAGATGTGCCTCCGCAAGTGCTGCTTTGTGTCTGATAACGGGTTGATCGCTTTTGCCAAAGCTGCCGGATCTCTTGAGAGCCTCCAATTGGAAGAATGTAACAGAATTACCCAGTCAGGGATCGTTGGTGCGCTTTCAAACTGTGGAACAAAGTTGAAAGCTCTTAGTCTTGTGAAGTGCATGGGAATTAAGGATATGTCTCTCGGAATGCCAGTGCCCTCTCCGTGCAGCTATCTTCGATATTTGTCAATTAGAAATTGCCCAGGATTTGGCAGCGCGAGCTTGGCTGTGGTAGGGAAGCTGTGCCCTCAACTTCAGCACGTTGACCTAAGTGGGCTCTGCGGAATTACAGATTCTGGGATTCTGCCACTGTTAGAGAGTTGTGAGGCAGGTCTTGTTAAGGTGAATCTTAGTGGTTGCATGAGTTTGACCGATGAAGTAGTTTCAGCCTTGGCTAGGCTACATGGTGGAACCCTTGAATTGCTGAATCTGGATGGTTGCAGAAAGATCACTGATGCTAGCTTGGTAGCAATTGCTGAAAATTGTCTGTTTCTCAGTGACCTAGATCTGTCAAAATGTGCAGTCACTGATTCTGGCATTGCTGTGATGTCAAGTGCAGAGCAGCTCAATCTTCAAGTCCTATCCTTGTCAGGATGTTCTGAAGTATCAAACAAGAGCTTGCCTTGCCTAAAGAAAATGGGCAGGACCCTGGTGGGGTTGAACCTCCAAAACTGCAGTTCAATTAGCAGCAGCACAGTTGAGCTGCTTGTAGAGAGCCTGTGGAGATGTGATATCCTGTCATAATCAGGGAGGAAAAAAGATAATGCTCATTCACTGAATCAAATAGTTGGAATCAAAGGCGTTGAACTGGATAAGGAGATTCATGCACTCCAGTTCGTCTATACATAGTAGAAGGATAAATTTCATGCAGTCAGCCTACACGGGTAGGAGCGTTCAGCATAGTTTTTGGCCCATCATCGGTGGGTCTGCTAATAACTGGGTGGCTTGGTTGTTTCCATGGACCTTTGGCAGATCACTTCTCCATCCTTTTTTGCAGGCTTTCTTCAGACAGAAAGCCTGTTGTAAATGTTCTGCCCCCATTGATGTGAGGCCTCCTCTTTCGTGGCATGGTTTCTTGAGAATTCAGTTACCAAAGCTCTAGTAAGAATTTCCACTTGTGGCTCCTCCATTTCCTATACCATCTATGGTCCTTGTTATGTTTTGCTGGATGTGACTTACCCCGTGTTTTAGCTCTTGTCTTGCAATCCTTTGATGTTTTGTGATGACTAAGCTTTCTTTATTCCGATCTTACCAAGTGGGTTGCTTTTATTATTAAAAAAAACTCTTGTTAAATTCAGTTCTCAGTATCGAGAGTCTTTCAGTGCTCGAAACTCTCCCGTGTTGGTTTCGTGGTTCTTATGTGTCCTCTGTTGTTATCGTTTGTTCTCTTTCATTCCAGTTTGTAAGAGTGGGTGCTTTGGGCAGTTCTGTACCAGGTTGCTTCAGATTTGCAGGCTTTGGCAGTGGCAGCTGGATCGTCCTCTGCTATGACAACTTCATTTCAGTTGTTTTTGTTTTTGACAAATTCCTGGTATTTCTGGCCTCTTTGTATATGAATTGTACTCTGTAACTGCTTCAATAAAATGCAATATTTCCATATTGTATTATCCATTTCTGTTGAAAAAATGTCAATGGAGAAGTCTCCACTACAGATTCCAGAATTTGAATGCAGGAACTTTAATCTGGTTTCATTACCACAGTTATCTTAGGAGTTAGGACTGATGTGTGACAGTTCTGGTAGTAGATTACCATAATATGATAGGACCAGTGGTTGCAATGCTTGCATAACCAGAAACCTGATATGGTGGTCTGGGGTTTGATGGAGAGGAAGTTGAGGTAGTCATGGTGGTGGCAGCCACAAGAGAGAACACTGTTTATGCCATCAACAAAAGGATTTCATGTTTTCAAGTGTGTTTCTGCTAATGATTAGCACTTGTTATCACATTTACTTTAGAGATTGAAAATACGTTGTTTTGAAAAATAGCACTCTTTGGCAAAGAAAACTGGAAAAATAAAACTACAATTTTGATGAAATCATAAAGTTTTTATGAAGCAGTGAATGAGAATCGTAACTTTGGACGATATATAAATGCCATAAACTGAGAGATTGAAAATACTTTGTTTTGAAAAATAGCACTCTTTAGCAAAGAAAACTGGAAAAATAAAACTCCAATTTTGGTGAAATCATAAAGTTTTTATGAAGCTGTGAATGAGAATCGTGACTTTGGACGATATATAAATGCCATAAACTCTTTTTACTCCTCACATTTCCGTAGTCTCTCTCCTCCTGAACCATCAAAAAAGCCCTTCCACAGCCTCCCCCTTCAAACAGCATTTAATTGATCAGATTAAATCAGCTTTAGATATGTTCAGATTAAATTAGTTTTAGATACGCTGTTTAAAAATTATTAATTTAAATTTTACAAATCTACAATCATTAAAAATTTACATGATTGATACATATAAATTAGACTAAACATTTATATTAATAAAAAAAATCTAACTTAATATAGTAAATAAAGGAAAACATCATCGAATTAAATCACATTAAAATAATTAACAAGTTAAACTCAAGTTCTCAAAGGACAACTAATTAAATTACTATGGTCATCAAATAATCGTAGTATTAGTTTGATCCAATCAAATTAAAATAAGTAATCCTCGGACTATACTCTTTCAATTAACAATCAATGATATTTTTTTAATATTTTTTTAGGCAAATGGTTTTTGTTATAATAGACTAACAAAAACAACATTAAAATATTAAATCACTGTCAAGTAACTTTAATGACTTGTGCTATTTTGCCTATATTTTTTAAGGGGTGTTGATAAACAAAAATAGCCTATATGGTATGGAAGTGAGGACTAAAATAGTACCATAGTGACGATTTACCAAAAATATATAGGGCATAGATATTTTATTGTAGTACTAGATATATTTTATTATGAATTGTTATAATAAAATTACTTTTTAGTTATTAAGTGAAAAAGAAAAAAGAAAAGTGGAAGCTTAAGGGAGGGAATACTATGGTTTTTTCATTGGTTTATTGTTCATTATAAGATTGTTAATGATATGTTAGTTTTTTTTTTTTTTAGTTTTTTGCATGGTAAAAATATGCTTTTACCCTCAAGGTCAACAAGATTTAAAGTTGTTGATCAAGGGATTTTTTTTTATTTTTTATAGACTTTTAAACAGTAAAAATATTTTTAAAAAAATCAAAAAAATATTGAGCTATTGACCAAGGAGTTTTTTTTTTTACTTTTTTCGTATACAATTAAAATACATCTTCGACATTAGAAAAGACAAAAGACAACTGCATTCGGGGTACTTTTGCACTTTCACAAAGGCTTTTTGGTAATTACAAAGGTCACCTTCTATCGTGTCTATGGAAGCATCATTGTACTCTCTTTCTTATGGTATGACACATGACGACATATGATGGTCAAATTATTACTGATAATCATTTCCTTTTCTTCTTTTTTTCTTTTCAGATAAAGTGCATAATTATCCTCTTTGTTATTGCTTTTAAAATTCTAATCCTCATTATTTAGATTTATAATTCTGTTCTTATTTGCTTTACGAAAATTTTATTTCTTTTCAATTTATTCCTTCAATTACAATTTCTTATATGTTTTGTTTTTCATTTTGGTACTTATTGTTTTGATTTTTAATTTATTTTTTGGCTCTTTTGTTATAATTTTATTGATTTTTAATTTCATCATTCAATCAAAATATATGTTATTTTATTTTTTTTAATTTGACTTTTATTCTTTTGATTTGTTTTTCATTTGTTATAGCTATTTTCATTTAAATTAACCATCAAGTTGAGAATTTTTGTTTTTCTTTAATAATTTTTTTCACCTTCATTCTTTTAATTAATTTTTTAAAATCCTTTTGTGTAATTGATTTTTGTCCTAATTTCATCTTTCAATATTTGATTTATTAGGGTTTCTACTTTGTTTTTTATTTGTAGCGTTTCTGATCTAATAACTTAGGTCAAGTGTTTGAAATGTTAATGTCGTTTGTCGTATTTGTTTCTTATTTTATATTACGATCTTATCGCTATGCATTAGGTTTTTTTAATAGTGGTTTTATGATTATTTTCAATTTATTTTCTATAGATTTATCTTAGTCTTAAGACCTAGGTTTTGCATGTTTGGTTTTTGCATGCTTTTTTTTTATATATGGAAATATTTTTAAAATTGTGTTGTTTATGTTTGGTTTTTGAAGATATTATTACAATTTTTTTTATAGAAGTGAAATTTATTTTTTAAAATAAAAATATTCATTTTTAATTAATATTTCTTATATATTCGGTGTTTTGTAATATTTTTTTGAGGGTATTATTTTATCCAGTCAATTTCATTTGTATTTGTATTTATATTATCTTTTATTAATTTAAATAAACAAGTTCAGTAAACATAATTGGGTAAATATTTATTTTTTTATGAATGAATATCGGAATCTATATCTATCTCTTAATTTTTTAGTTATTATTAATGTTTTTTTCTCCATTTAAAAAAAATAGTTATTAATTTATTAAGTTAGATGTTTGCATAAATTTTTTTATATGAAAAAATACATTAAAATAGTTAGCACTAGTTGGATGCCCACGCTATGCGGCAAGTTCACTTTTTATTTTCATAAAAACTACTATAAAAATTTATAATATAAAAAATAATATTTTTTAATATTAATAATAATGGTTTTTCAAATTTATTAATTATTTTATCAGTAATATTAATTATAATAAAAATAATAATATTTATAACATAAATAATTATATTAAGAATTTTAAGGACTATTGCAACACATAATAATATTTTTTATATCAATACTTTGAATTATAATAATGGTTATAACACAAATAATGTTATTTTTGTTCTGAACACTTTAAATTATAAGAGAAAAAAATAATATTTATATCACGTATTATTATATCAATAAATGTGGTTAAATGTGAATGTGTCCAACCCAAACTTGGGTTTGGGCATGGCTGTGTATCCCAACCCCAAGTTAGACATTGACGCGTTAATACCCAACTTGGGTCTGGGTATGGCTACGCGCCCCAACCCCTCGGTGGGCGTGGACACGTCCACGTGCAACTAGGGGTTGGGTGTGGACATGTCCAAATCTACTTGGAGTTGGGTATAGACACCTCCATACCCAACTTCAGGTTGGGTGTCGACGCATCCAGACTTTTAATTACAATAAAAGTAAAAATAATTATAACACAAATAATACTATTTTTAATATTAATACTTTTAATCATAATAAAAATAAAAATAATTACAACACAAATAATATTTTTTATAATATTAATATTTTTTCAAATTTATTATTTTATTAATAATATCAATTATAATAAAAAATAATAATATTTATAACACAAATGATAATATTTTTAATATTCACACTATTAATTATAAAAAAATATTTATAACATAATAATTCTATTAAGCATTTCAAGGATGATTACAACACAAATAATAATATTTTTTATATAAATACTTCGAGTTATAATAAAAATAATAATATTTATAACACAAATATTAATATTTTTTATATGAACACTTTGAATAATAGTTTCAAGGACCCAACTTGGAGGTGGGCGTGCATTTGTCCACCCCTAACTTGAGTTTAGACATGGCTATATGCCTCAACCCCAAGTTGGGTGTGGATGCGTGTAGGCCCACCTTGAGGCTGGGCGTGTACTCATTCAAACCCATCATGGTTTGGGGCTGGGCGTGGACGTGTCCAGACCCATCGTGGGTGTGGATGTGGCTATGTCCAGCCTCATTTGGGGTTGGGTGTGAATGTCTTCAGGCCCAACTTCGGGTTGGGCACAGACGCGCCCAAAGTTTTAATTATAATAAAATTAAAACAAATTATAACACAAATAATACTATTTTTAATATATTACTTTTAATCATAATAATAATAAAAATAATTATGATACAAATAATATTTTTCTTATATTTTTTTTCAAATCTATTATTTTTTATTGATAATATCAATTATAATAAAAAATAATAATATTTATAATATAAATAATTCTATTAAGAATTTCAAGGATAATTACAACACAAATAATAATATTTTTATATCAATACTTAGAGTTATAATAAAAATAATAATATTTATAATATAAATAATTCTATTAAGAATTTCAAGGATAATTACAACACAAATAATAATATTTTTATATCAATACTTAGAGTTATAATAAAAATAATAATATTTATAACATTGGAGCTACCTAAACACCACGTGCCACAAACACATCTAGACCCAACTTGGGGTTGGGAGCAAACATGTATGGACCCAACTTAGGGTTGTCATAAGCAATCAAGCCTATTGTCAAGACCCAAGCGCCAGGTGGCACTTAGGTCTGCCCCTTGCATTGGAACTACCTAAGGGCCATATAGCACATGGATCATGGCAAAGGACTTGATTATCTAGCGTTTGAGGCAGGACCTAATTGTCTTGTGTCCATCGTCATATACACAACTCAATGAGTCTGGCATGACCCAATTCTATTGGGTCTTGATGGAATATTTTAAATATTTTAATTTTTATTATAATTAAAAGTATTACCATTAAAAATAGTTTTATTGGTATAATAAATAGTATTTGCGTTAAAAAATATTATTATTGTTATTAAAATTTAAAATATTCATATAAAAAATAATATTATTTGTGCTATAAACATTATTATTTTATTTATAATTATTAGTATGAATACTAAAAATATTATCAGTTGTGGTATAAATAATACTATTTTTATCAGAAGTAATACTATTATAATAACAATGGGTAGTGCCACGTTGTGCTTGGTCTGCCCTTACACCATGTCGCGACAGAGCTGCTGTAGCAATCGAGCCTTTGTCAAGACTCATATGCCAGGTGGCACTTGAGTTTACCCCTCGCAGTGGAGCTGTCCAAGCGTCAGGTTACTTTTGGGTTTTCCAAAGCCCTACATGGCACTGAGGGCTGCCATAGCCGATCGGGCCTTTTGCTAGGATCTAAGCATCATGTGGTGTTAAGGTCTACCCCGTGTACTTTAGCCCCCTAAACACCAGGTGACACTCAGGTCTGCTCCGCACAAGGGCCGGGGAACCCAAGCGCTAGCTGTCCTTGCATGGGCAACACCAGCACTAAGTGCCAGCTCTCCTTGGTTTGCAGTCCTACCAAAACTTGTAATAATAATTTTCTCTCTAACTATCCTTTCAATGCTAAATGCACATCAATGAAAAGACAACTCTATCCCTTTCCCATTAGCATTACAACTCTTTGTGCTAAGGGCTAGATTACTATTATACTATTTCAATCAACAATATTTATATCCATGTAAATAATAATAGGAATAATAAGCTCTTTTAGTATATTATGTAATATCTAATAATTTTTATGTTTTTTTTTTTTTAAAAAAAAGAGATTAAAACCCGCTGTCGATAGGGGGTTAAGTAGCCTACTACATTTATAGACGCAAAGGAAGTATCTTAGACAAGGGTACTGTTTGTCTCTCCATGGATGACTTCTTGTGTAGCATGCAGGAAAGGCCTCAATAATGCATATTTAACGAGGACTACCATTGCAAGGACTACCATACTAGCACTATCCCCTGGCTAATGTCTTGTCACCATTTATGCTGCTTGCATTTACAATCAAAGAGGGTTCATTTCTGGTGAACGATGGACAAGGCAAGTGAAGAAGACATCATAACTTGCTTAAAGATACAATGCCAGTACAGTTAGCAAATTATTTTAATTTTATGTGTTAATTTCCCAATTTATCCAAAACTTTCATGCAAGAGAATACCAACTTCTCTCCTCCAAACAATTGCGAAAACTATATAATATTATTTATAAAGTACAAGTTTGAAGAGAAGGGAGAGGAGGAAGATGGAAGACAAGGTTAGTTGATAGCCATGGTCATGGCAGGCAAGCAAGAGAATAATGTAATGCAGAAGCATCTAACGCGGCAGAAGAACAAGTGCGCAGTGGTGGCAATGGAGATAAGCTATACGGAAGAACCTCGATCACTTTCCTAATCATTAGGATTTCCTTCGCATCACTAGTTTTAAAACAAAAAAGGAAATTAGACCCCTCAAAGCCATGGTAGGGAAAAGCAGGAAGTAGAAGTAAGAATAACAAATTCATTCGAATCCTATAAATACCAATCCAAACTAACATGGAGAAAGTTTCGTTTTTAATAATTTACTTCTCAATAAATAATAAATATAACATGGATATTATTGTACTCAATATATATATATATATATATCCTGATAGTAGATAAGATATAAACATCTAAATTTCCATAACAAAAACCATGATAACTCCATTGTCATCCCTAGTTAAAAAGAAACTCAAACTCTCAAGTTCTACAATACAACAGATATCACAGCAGCTAATGAACTATAATATACAAGCACTATAATGTATGAACCGGAAACAAGTACATTGCCATGCCATCAATGCCTATTTCTAGAAATTCTTGTCGGGAAGAATATCTTCTTTTTTGCACTACCGGTCAATGATATGCTTCGCACCCAAAAAACTGGATCAGGAAGTCATTGTATGAAGCAGGCTGGAATTTTTGCACCCTTATGGAGATTTCAAGATGATATTTTCTAGCTGAGCGCAGAAGTTCTTGTAGAACTGAAAAGGGAAGCCAATGATATAGGTGTTACCAGCGTTAAAAGATAATAACCTTGCAGGCTATTACAAAATCTGGACGTCTATAATAGCAACAATAGCAAACAGATGAATTCTAAATCACCATCAGATGCTATTAAGACATCTTTAATGAGTTAGCTGATCCACCAAAATCAACAAATCAATGACCCTTAAAACTTCCATTATGAGAGCAAACACTCAAAATAATGCTAGCTAGATATCTCACTGGAGATACCTGAGTGAAGGAAAAATTCTGTAATGCGTGTAATGCCAGCACTACCCAGTATCATTAAAGTGGCAGTTAAGAACATGATGATTTTATATGTCGAAGGAGGATTCTTAGGATTTATTAGCAAACCATAAGAAAATGCGGTTGAACCTAGTCAAACAGTAGGAAGTCAATATCAGAGCTTCCAATGATCCAAAAGTGGAGAACAGGCTGTGAACACAATTTAACAATGAAAGACCAAAAATAATGTGCTGAGGCCATGAGACAAGACATGCAGCAAATATGATCTTTGATGCCTGGAATCACAATATTAAAAATGAACATCATATAAACAAACCATATTGCTAAAGTGGGCTTTTATCTGAGTTGCCTAAGATTCAGCAGGTACTAAATTCCAGTGACCTACTATAACAAAGTTACTTCTGTTCATACATATGATTGCGCAAATCTAACTTCACCCCTCCTCTCTCTTCTCAAGGTTAGATGGTTTCTTAGCACTACTATTATGCATATAGAGTTGGGCAACATTATCGTATTCTTAAAATAAAGAAAAGAGTGTGTGTGTGATTTCTAGATGGCAGGGGAAATTTTTCAGGATTTAAATGAATTCACCTTGTGATATTCAAGAGTTTCCCCAGATGCCTTCCGTGCATCTACCATGAAAAGAGATGGAGCAACTTCATAAACCTGAGCATGAAAGACAACTTTTTGGTATAGTTCTTGTTCTGAAACCACTGACACCTTAGTTTTTGCAGATTAAAAAATTTGAAGAGAGGAATGAAATGAAATCTAGGAAGTTACCTCCAGAACAACTGCAAGATGTCCAGCCTTATTTTCAGATATTCTTTCGAGTCTTGTCTACAAGAATTACTTTCCACAATCAACAGAAATGAAATGGAGATAAGCTCGTTATATCTTATTCAAATCCTACATATCAGAAACTTCATGAGCTGAATTTTCTGGCAATTATTTTTCTGTAGTACCATGAGGTTGCTTGTGTAGTTAGCTTTGTTTGCTAATTCCTGGCTTGTATTTTCTCTTTATCAGTAACATTTTCCACTCTTCTGTTATCATACAATGCCCCATTTCAGGCAAAGAGTGAGGAAAATGTTACAAGAAAAATTCATGGAAATTGCTGCACCAAACCTTGCAGTTTTGCGCAAAATATGTTATTTAAGAAATGCAGGCAACTTATTAGTGGTTTCTACCAAACTGGGGCATATGCAGAACATGATCTGTGGCGGAATAATAGCACAGCACATCAAGAGCATGAATGAAAATGTTAAATTGGGATTTCATACAAATATAACAAGTCAAGTTATACCTTGTAATTACGTGTATGGAACTTGAGATTCATTGATTCCGCAACAGCTTCAAATGCTGAAATTATAACTTTTGCTGGTTTGCGGGATACAAAACGAGTTTGTTGTTTTACATAATCCTGCCAGAGGAAAAGCGCACCATCAGCCAAAACACATTAAGGCACTTCGATTTATTATCACATACAGCTTGTACCAAGGGAAAGGATCTAATAACCACAGCAACTACAAAAAAATCAAGGCACTACGAGAAGCAACAAGATCAATATTGTTCGCCATTACAATGACAATGGTGTTGCTGGATATCATAGATAACATTCTAACTGATGGAAAGTTCAGGAAGTTGATCACATGACTCTTGATCATGTCTCCAACTATCTTATTCTTCGCTTTTCTTTTATCAAATAATCTTGGCCTCGAATGAAATTCGACTCTCAGAACCTTGAACTACAACAGGCTAGACAATAGTTTTGGTCATAACTTGCAGCATAACTCTGAAAAATTTACTGTACCTGATGTCTATCGAACAATGCTGATAGATTCAGCCCTTGAGATAGGGCAATCATCTCAAATGCATTCATTACCACAGGACCGCCCTCACTGTTCTCCAATTGCTCTGCTACATAATGATCCTGTAGTTCCAAGAATCACCAAGTAGAACGAGAAGTAAGAAAGCTTAAAAGGCAATAAAATGATGTCTGCAGGCCATCAGGGAACATTACGGTACCACAAGAAAGTAAAACAAAAGAAAAAACAAAGAACCCACCAAAGAACAAGGGGTATCAGATGATGCATGTTACAATGCATTGGTGATGGTAGCATGCATTCAACTGCAGAATTTAATGCTTGCATTAGTATTTTAAAAGTGATGACACCAACCTCGATGTCATCAGCATGAACATCATCCAAATTCACTTCCTCGTCTTCCCTATGTCCAACAGGCTCATAGTTTTTCTGAAACCATGGATGTTTTTTAATTCCCTCAATCCCTATACGCTGCAGCAACAGAGAACCACTTTTTTCAGATGAAAAGAATACCATGAATACGAGGTGTACTGAACTGATATTCAAGTCATTTCTAATCATAAGTTTCAGACATGATGTGATCCAGACCACAACAGTTTTGCATGTGAGCATTTAATTTCCAGGACAAAGTCCCAGATCAGTTATAAGGTTAATATAATGAAGTAAAGAACTCACAGTTTTTGGATTGGGATCGAGTATCTTATCTATCAATGCTTTTGCCACAGGAGAAAACCAAAATGGACAAGAATACTTCTCAGCATTTATCTATGCATCAACAAGAAAAACAGTTAGGAGTGTCCACATCATGCTTGTGGAAATTATAAATATATATAGAATACAACGCAGTACAACAAGGAAGGTTGTGTTTTGAGGAATAGAACAAGGTGTACAACGACTTTTCACCATTTCCCCATGCATGGTTATGAGAAATGCAAGGGTATCAGTGCCTGTTTGGAACTGAAACCTACAAAGACAAGATACATAATGCTACTATAGGCATAAACATGGGAATGAGTGCCCAGAACAACCAAAAAACAGGAACAAAAAAAGCTGCTCTTGCTATGTCCTTGTACATGCAGAACTGCAAGTGAAGAAAAAGAACAAGTGCTTTTAATTTACAAACGAGGAACCCTTTGTGTTGAATAAAAGTGCCCTAGCTGAACTTGTTAGTAAGACAGTGAATGAGTGCACAATTGAGATTTTGAAAAAATAACTAAATGACATACACGAAGCACTTCACTTGTTCACTTCCTCCAAAAGAAAAAAATGAAGCAGCTAACCTTTCGGCACAAGGTTGGAAGGTCTATCTCCTCAAATGGAAGATATCCAGCCATTAGAACAAAGAGGATGACTCCACATGACCACACATCAGCAGCAGCTCCATCATAACCCTGGTGACCAAGTACCTGATAGGTAGTGGTTTAATGTAAGAAACTGTGTTAAGAAAACAGAGGAACGACACTACACCAGGACATAAATGGAGAAAGTAGCATTCATGATTGGACTACATGGAAATTCCAAAACTACAGATGACTTGCTCTAAGAAACAGTGAAGCTGCAGATGAGCCGTGAAGAAAAGTTCATGTATAGCAGATGAGGAGGAATAAGTTCCACAAAGAACATAGATTAAATTCAAAGGATGAGCAACCAATTCAAAAATATTGACGTTCAATTCTCCATCCTCCAATATGATCCTCAACCCAATGCCACATTAGACTTATCCATGTCCTCAACCAGCAACCCTTTTCCATAATAAAGAACAAATTAAGAAAAGCGGAGAGAAACAATTTGTGAAAAGGATGCATCTCATGTTGGAAATCATACAACAGCGCAGGGTATCAAATGCTGGCTAAGACGGAAAAATTATTTAAAATAATAGAATGCAGATATGGCACGAGAGACCAAATCATATATTTTCACCGTCTTTTGAGAATATACCTCAGGTGCAACATAATTTGGGGTTCCACACGTTGTATGAAGAAGTCCAAACCCCTCCATTTTTAAGTAGAAATAAACACGGACAAAACACACACGGTTAGAGAGAGATGGGTAAGAAAAATCGATAGCATGTATATGTGTGTGTTTATTCTAAGTAAGATAATCGTATGCTTACTTTCTGGCGCAACGCGCTCAATCCAAAGTCTGAAACCTTCAAATTCCCAAAAGCATCAAGAAGGAGGTTTTCAGGCTACACAGAAAAAAAAAAAAAAAAAAAGACTTAATCAGAGCAGGGCCAATCAGAAAATCAACAAGTAAAATGCTCAACTACACAATCTGTTGCTTGTTCACCTTCAGGTCTCTGTGGTACACACCCTTCCGGTGACAGTGAGCAACAGCATCTATAAGCTGCTGAAAATACCGCCTCGATTCATTTTCGGAAAGTCTTCCTTGATGAACCTGTACATCCATCCATCCACATCAAGAAGGAACACAAAAATCCTTCCCTAGTATATTTGCTAAACTAACCACTAGCATTAATAATAGTTTTACTTAGAACCTCTCAGCATTTCCTCAACATTTCAAGGCAATATAAGCTAAAAGCACTTACAATTTTATCAAATAAATCTCCTCCAGTAACAAACTCAAGAATTATGTATATCTTCGTCCGGCTCGACAAAACCTATAATTCAATCAATCAATAAATCAAAATAATTAAGCAATAATACCACAAATAAATTTAAAAAAAGGGACCATAATTACCGGTAAAAAAGTAATAAATAAATAAATAATAATCACCTCATGCAGCCTAACTATGTTAGGATGCCTCACAATCTTCATGATTGATATCTCTCTTTTTATCTGTCAACCCAGAAAATTAACCTTACTTACCTCCTCTCTAACTTTCAAATAAATAAAAATGATCACTAAGTTAAAAGAGAGAGATTGAGTGGTGATAAGCTACCTGATCAACCAATTTGTGCTTGAGAATGGTTGATTTAGCGAAAATGTTCATGGCTACGCTCTCTCCAGTTTCTCTATTTTGAGCAAATTTGACCTTGGCGAAGTTTCCTTCGCCAATTGTACGGCCAACTTCATAGTTTCCTACCATTCTCGTTACTTTCTTCATCATTATAATTACAATTAATCAGCTCATCTTTTCTTTTCTTTTCACCTTCAATCTAAAACTCAAAACTGCAAGAATCGAAGTCTGTTTGATTACAGGAGGAAACATAATAACTTTTGAATTTTTAGAGGAATTTACGTTAATGATGACCAAAGGAGATATATATATATATATATATATATATATAAACACATTCAACTTTTGGATTTTAATAGTGAAGTGACTCTTGCACATTTGATTGATCCACAGGAAGGTTCGCTGTGTTGGTTTCTATAGGAAAAAAAAGACAAAAGGGGAAGGTGACCTTCACAGGGATGGGAAGGGGTTGTTCCGCATTGCGGTTGGTTAAAATTTATTTGTTTTATTTAAAATTATTTTTTTAATGATTTTAATAGTTAGACATATTAATATTAAAAATAATTTTTATTTTAATATATTTTTAATTTTTAAATAAAAAATACTTTAAAATAACACTACCGCATCACAGCTTCTAAATTTTAAAGGGATATAAAAAAAAAATAGATTGATGTTTCTCAGTCCCTTTTTGAGATATAGAAGCAGGATATGAAGGGAAAAAAAAAAAAAAAGCGGTGAGAAAATCTTAGAAAGAGTTGCCAAGAGGCTATCTTAAAAGTATCTTCAACGGAGCTGTTAAATAAATAATTAAAAATAAAAAAATAATATTTTGATTTTTCTTTACTTGTTTTTCATATTTCAAAGGAAAAACCAAACAAAATATTAAAATATCATTTTTTCCCTACAAATATTATTCCCACATATATCTCAAAAGACCTAAAATTAATAAAGTGAGGCTAACAAAAAAAAACTAATTAAATATAGCATGTGAAAAAAAAAATATCATTAAAATTATTAAAAAAATAAAACATATTTATTTCATAATAATAAAATTAACTTCTTAAATAGCTTTTTTGCATTGGAGCCCACATGATAAAAAAAACTATAATTATACTATTTAAAATGATATTTTACCAATTTATCTCATTAAAATAGTATTTATTATTGAAAATGCTCTAAAAAAAGAAAAAAAAGGAATGAATAACTTGGGAATAGAGAATGGACAGTCTAATCATGGGCGTCATGGATGTCGCGCTCGACTAACTGAGTAAAAAAAATGATTCCCACAATGAACATTCCAGATCATCCTAGCTCAGGTTAATAACTACTGTTGTGTAAAAAATTTGAATAACTAATTAAATTTAAAAATAATTAAGAATATAAAATTATAAAAAAATTAATTAAACTGATTAAATTATTTAAAAGAATATTCAGTTTAATTTGATTTTAGTTTGGTAAGCCTAGAACTAAAAACTCAAACAAAAAAAAAAATTAAATTCAAATCAAGTCCATTAAAAAAATTCAAAAAACATCTAAAATACAATATAATTTTATGTTTTTAATATGAAATAATAAAATTTAAATTAAACTAAATCGAACTGAAACAAAATTATCAATCAATTAGGTTTTGATTTTTAATATAAAAAATCAAATTAAATTAAAATGGATCAATTAAAACTTGTTTTGATTGTGTTTATTTTTTTAATTTTACAAAATTTCAGCTAGATATTTTTTATAAATAAAAATCAAACTAAATTAAAAATGATCATCTCTCTCCTATCATATCATACCCTATCCTAGATTATCTCTCCTTGTCCTTCATTTTTTTAATTAAGGTTTTATCGCTAAAATATGCAAGTGGTGTTTCGTGAGTAGGATGCTAGGATAACAACGATGATCGACAAAATGGTAACCATAGGGAAGGGTATAATCCAATGCCCATTACACATGTTTATTGAAATGTCAGTTTTGTTATAGATTGGACAAGGATTATTTATTAGTTTTATTAATTATTGGCAAAACCTAGGAAGAATAAATTGGAGTGGAAGAATAAATGGGAGTGGCTGACTTAAGAGTACAATACCAAACATGAAAATGATGGTGGCTTTAATTTAAAGTTTGTAAAGAAAAGAGGAATGATAATTTATGTATCTGTATGCAAAGATTAATCATAAACCTTTTGAATTGTGGCCACGAAACTAACATTGATGCTACTAGGAGAGCAAAGCATTCTATGATTAATCTGCCTTTTTTGTTTTATTTAATTTGATGTTTCTTCTTTACAGGTCGATGCTGCTGAAAATGGAGGATATGAAGGTGAAAAGTAGCCTGATTATAATCGTAGCCAGTAGAGTAGAGAGATTGTTTTTTTTCTTTTTTTAGATTAATATGCATGTTTTATAAAATTTAAAATAAATAACCATGTAAATTTTTAATAGTTATGAGAAAACTTAAACTTTTATGATTGTGGTAAAGGAAAGAAGGTGCCTGAGGAGCAATATATGGCATAAGAAAGATATTGAAATTAGAAAAAAAATATATGTTGACATTGGTTAAACTTTTACTTTTAGTTTCAGAACATTTTTATGCGAATAGCTTGATATCGATCATGCTAATAGGCTTTATCTCTTGCGATGAATATTTGACAACATAATGAATATAGGTATTCTCCAGCCCAGGATTCCTGAGGGGACGAGCTTTGATGCCCGTGATTTGATTGACAAGTAAGATTGAGTGAGATTCCAAGACATAAATGTTATTTATCTGAAAATATAACATATTTAAAGCATATGATTTCATAAAGAAGATTATTTGAGTTTCCAACGAGCATAGGCTAGAGAGGTGAACTCGTTATGGTGACTAATGAAACTTATTTACAAGGAAAAAGGCTGTCTTAATGTGTGATATATTTTTTGAATAATTAGGTCTTTTTTTTTTGTTCGGTATTAATATTGGCTGAGTGATGATGCATTTAGGTTAATCTTATGTTTCTTGAATTTGTTAATTTATCTGAAGGTGCAGCCTATGCCTTGACATAATCAAGCTGAAAAGGAATAATTAAGGCGATGTTGTGAATGGTTTGGAGAGTTAAGTTTTTCTGAATTTAAGTGGGTTGAGTGGTTTTTTGCACATTATGATTTTCCACTGCAAGCTCCCAACTTTGTTCTCCCAGTTTCTTTCCTAAACTCTCCCCTTCTAATGTATTTTATACCTGTTCTTCTCGTGTCTGATATTTTTTGTTGTTTTCAGGATACAAGCTGCTGCAACATCTTTAAGATATTATTTACTTTTCAGTGCTTTTTTTTTTTTGCATTTTTATATGTTGATTTCATCTTTAAGTTTGGTTATTTGTTCTATATTTTATTTTCTTGCACGGATGCTTTGCTATATATGCATGAACATTGAAAACAAAAACAACAAATCACTCTCTACTTTTTCTTGCTTTGAACCAGGATGTTATGCATAAGGTGACAGCAATGGAATTTCTCAACATCAAGCAAATGGTAAAATTGTATGGGTTGTGCATCAGGTAGACAGGAAGAGTTTAATGATGATTGGTTTAAATGGTTTTGCGTTAATTTTTTTTTATAAGATCTTGTATTCGAGTCTTATGAATAAAATATATTATTATTAAAAAAAAATTATTTCTTAATAAGCTGACCGGTTCAACCATATTAGTTGAGATTCAATAAATTTTTAGATAACAGGATTTAGATAAAAAAAAAAAAGGTAAAAAGATGGGAAAAGTTGTGGGATTTAGATAAAAAAAGGTAAAAAGATGGGAAAAGTTGTTAATTTCTAAATCAACACAGTAAATATTTAACTTGCAACACTATTTCTTTTATATAGGTTCTGTAGCTCTCTTATTACTATTCAGATCACCTATTGAGATTTATATGCTGTCTAGAGATGGTATTACTACGCCTTTTGATTTGAGGATTCTATATATGATTAAATTTCAGATGCCCCTTTCAATCTATGGAAAGGGTCTCCCTTTTCTTCTTGGCTTTTTTTTTTTATTTATACGCTGCTCATGATAATTATCTTAGTATAATTTTCACCAATATTTGATTAAAACTAATTAACACCCTATTTATTTTATGTAAATGTTATTCGGATCGCAATTTTGTTAACTGAAATTCTAACTATAGAAAGGTCCCTTGGAAAAAATCATGTCTTGATATCGTAGGGTTTGACTGTTACACGTACAAAATTCTAAACACAAAATATGAGATGGCAACCTGACGTGATATTTCTTTTTTTCTTTTTTCCTTTTTCTCCATTATAAACAAGGAACTTTTTCCTTTCTAGTTTCTAGTGGAAAATGGGTGGTATTAGCAAATTTCTATTATCATATTCACAATCAAGTCCTGAAATAAATAAAAAATAATCAATTATCCCAAACATCTCAAGTTTTTTTCAAGTGAGTCCAGATCTCCATTTAACAATTTTTAAAACCAATGTTTTCTGTAAAGTTGCCTGGCTTTTTATCTTAACTATATCTATACTTTTGTAATTTTGTTACACCATCAATGCTATTATCGATAACTTTTCTTTCCCGTCATCAATGTTGTTATCATTAACTTACTTCTCTTTCTCATAAATTATTGAACAATTATCTTGTGCAAATAGAATTTGGTTTCATTTAAATAAAAATGTTATTTCTTTGATGTTTGTTTATTTTCTAATTTGTCCCTCTATTTCATTTTTTATCATTAAATTATATGCCCTTTTCACACCTTTTTCCTTGCACTCAAATAATGACATTTTGTGCAAATTCAATTAATTATTTTTTAAAGCTTGGGCACCAGAAATACTGATGATGTCGTTATCTCAATATATTTTTAAAAATATATAATATTTTATTGACTTTGATTAACTTAAATTAACTGATAAAATTTACAACTTAAGTCATGGACATAATCTCTATTAGATATAATTCTTTTAAGCTAATTAATAAGAAGGGATGAAATTGCATTTATCCTTTTATTTTAAATTAAATAAAAAATTAATGATAACAAAGGTTAAATTATATATTTGTAAAAAAGTTCGGGAAAATATATAAAAAAGAAGTCTTAGATATTGTGTCATAACTCGTTAAAATTATGAATTGCACCATGAATCAAATCTCGTCTAATAATTTTGTTTTCTTAAATTTGTTTTGCACCTTAAAAAAAATATTAAAAAATAGCTTGGCTTGGTGGGCCATTTCTTATTGTTTTTTCTAGTCTTTTAAAGGGTGGATGACCTATTTTTTAAAAATTAATAATCAGACAATATGTTTTTTATCTATTCAAATGTTAGCTAAT